CTTTCTTCTCAAGAACTCTCCAAAGGATATCTCTTGCAACCTTATCGTAAGCTTTTTCTAAATCAATAAAAATCAAATGTAGATCCTCCTTATTATCTTTGAACTTCTCCATCAAACATCTCAATAAATGTATAGCTTCCATAGTAGAACTACCTGACATAAATCCAAATTGATTATGAGAGAACTTTGTAACACGTCTTAACCTATGTTCAATTACCCTCTCCCATAATTTTAAAGTATGACACATCAATTTAATTCCTCTATAATTTCCACACTCTTGTGCATCCCCTTTATTCTTAAAAATAGGGACCAAAATACCCTTTCTCCACTCCTCAGGCATCTTTTTAGTTTTTAAAATAATATTAAAGAGTTGAGTAAGTCAAGAAACTCCCACATCTCCTAAAGGATTCCACACTTCAATTGGGATATCATCAGGTCCTACAGACTTTCCACCCTTGATTTTCTTTAAAATCTCCTCAACTTCATTTTATTATTATTAACGATACTAAGATCACTAAGGTCAATAATAATTTTAGAATCTTCATTAAAAATTTTATCAAAATAACTCACCCACCTATGTTGAATATCTTTTTCTAGGAAAAACACTTTTTTAATTTTCACCTTTAATACACTTTATTTGTGTTAAATCTTTACTTTTCTTTTCTCTTTGTTTAACTAGTTTAAACATATATTTTTCACCCCCATTGAGATCTAATATGTTACAAATATCACTAAAAACAGAATTTTTAGCGTCACAGATTGTTCTTTTAGCGTCACAGATTGTTATTGTTCTTTTAGACTCTCTGCGGATCGTTTGATATTTTTCTCAGTTCTTTAAGGTTTTACATTTAAACCAATTTTTATAAAATATGTTCTTATATTTTATCTTATCTTGCACATTATTATTCCATCACCAACTATTTTTATTTCTAGAAACTTTTTCTTTTGATTCTCCAAATACATCTTTTGCTATTTGTTTAATAGTATTTGTTAGTTTATCCCACATAGCATTCGCAACATCAAGAACATGCCATATTTTGAAATATAGAATTTTACTCATAAAAATAATTTTATTTGTGTTTTTTAAGTTCCTCATCTAATTCTACGATGACGAGTCCTAGCATTCTTTATTTTATAACTCTTCATCTTAAAATCTAGAATTAGTAATCGATATTGAGTACTTAAATCCTCACTTGGAATGATCTTACAATCTTCACAATCTTGACGATCTCTTCTTCTCATAAGGAAATAATCAATTTGTGTTTTATTAGATCTATTCTTATGAGTAATAAGATGCTCATCTCTTTTCTTGAATAAAGTATTAGAAATAACAAAATCATAGACAAAAGCAAAATTTAAAATGACTCTACCTTCTTTATTAATCACTCCAAAAATCTTCTACCACTCTACCGATATGTCTATTTAAATCTCCTTAAATCTCTATTTAAATCTCCTCCAACAAAAATTCTTTCTTCAAGATGTATCATTTGTATTAAATCTTCTAAGTCGTTCACGAATTTACGTATTAAGTCTTCTAAGTCATTCCAAAATTTACCTTTAGAGCCTATATCTAAACCTACTTAAGGAGCATAAGTACTTATAATATTAAAAATTTTAATATCAATAATAATCTTAAGGGTTATAGTTCTATCTTCAACTCTATTAATTTTTACAACATTATCTTTCAAAATTTTATCTATAATTACACTACATCATTTCTAGTGCTACCCTTACCAAAATACCAAAGTTTAAAACCTAAATTATCAATTTCCTTAGTCTTTTCTCCAACCCATTTAGTTTCTTGAATACATTAAATATTAATCTTTCAATACATCATAGTATCAACTAATTTCATTAATTTACCATTCAGAGTACCTATATTCCAAGATCCCATCCTAAGATTAGTTTCATTAGTTTCATAGACTAACTTCTTTACCAGTATTCATTCATAATGTGAGAACTTTTGCTTATTTGACACTACACCCGAGCACTAAGGAGACAGTGCAGCGGCACTTGCACACTTTTCACTGTATTCAGACCATATAGTGTGTCGCTTCCAGGGGACCCCCTAGCACTTACACAATGTTCAAAAGGATTCATGTCGAGATTTTATTCAACAAGTTTTACGCTGGTTGTCGACTACCTAACGCAACCCTCCACTTTTCAAATCCAAGCTTGGAACTGACATGACGGTGTATTTTAAAAAGGATTCATACTTCTCAAACAATAATCATTTTTAATTAATTATGCAAATTCCATAAGAAACATATTTTTATTGTTATAAATAAAATCTATGCAAGAAGATAAAGCCATAAGCAGAGGAAAAAACATATAAATAAACACAATGGCTAGAGGAAGGTTAGCTAATTTGATCAAGCACCAAAATCATTAAGTATTGATGTTGGAGTAAGCATGGGTCACAATTTCATACTCATAGTTGCCTAAGGTAAGTTAAGTCAACATACAAAGCACAAATCAAGTTCAATAGGTTGTAAGCCTTAAACTAGCTCAAGCTTCGCTAAAGTTAAAGTTTCCCAAAGCCGCAAGTCATCCAAAGTCAAAGCTCATTGAAACTGCCACTAAAATGTTCTAATTGCTTCAAGAATTCAACATATTGAGGTCATCAACTTAGCCGACAATTCATAACTCATTCAAAAACTCAAGCATCAATCAAGCAAACATATCAATAAAGGAACTCATTAAAAGAATTTGTTCTATAAAAATTACCAATCAGAAAGCTCATCTATTAGACAACTGTTAACATACCAGATTTGCACATTTCACAGCAAGGTTTTTGAAGCTTTTTTACATGAACTAGTTTATATTGCTTTATGATAATCATTTTTATAGTGCTGAATGTTATCCTATATTATAAATAGGGGTTAGAGGAGAAGCTTAACACATGCTCATGTCGCATTAATTATTTACTTAATAATCCAATAACTTGCTCATATCGCTTCCAAATCTAGACCTCTCTTTCTCACTTTTCTTTCTCTTTAGACTCGAATAATGTTTTTCAATATGATTTTGGTGTCATCCATGAACAAAGTTAAATCCAACATTTATACTGTTACAGCTGCGGAGGTCAACAAGCATCCTAATTCATTTTATGGAGAAACTATGTGCCTTTATTGAAAACAATTCTGATTGGGTAACATGTTCTCTGATTTTGAAAAAAAAAAACATTGATCTTTTTATCAAAAAGTTATAGAACTTTGTAAATTATAATAAGCACAGGTAAGTCATACTAATAAATAATGTTGATTCATATGAAATTACAAATAGCTATTAAAATAACTTCAGTCAAGGCTTTTGTTTTGATCCATTCTGATAAAATAACTAATCAACACCACAATAGATTTTCTTTAATTGCTTGATAGGGGAAAATAAGTAAGTAGATTCACTCCCCCAAACAATAAATGGTCGAGAGCTTGCTATAGAGTGAAACTTGTGAGAACACCAAAGTTGCATAAAAGTAAAATTTTGACATTGACTACATTTTCTAAGGAATTCTTTAGTATTTTTTAATAAAATTGGCCAAAAATAACTTTATTGCTACATTGTACTGGTGAGTGCCATTCCTATTGAATGACTTGCATATTCACAAAAATGAACATTCTTTAAGATATTAACCATCTCAGATTCTTATTCACATTAAAGGCTTGTTGAAATGATAGATTTTTTAAATAACTCAACGCCAAGAAGACAAACTTGAGTATCATTAATTTTAAACCTTCATTGATTATTAACTGTGGATAATTTTTTTATTGAGAGTAAGCATTCAAAGAAAAAGTCTGCCTAGCTAGAAGTGACTTGACCTTACAAGACATCTGCTACTTGATATTAAGATCAATGACTTTAATTGTTGGCATTTCACCAGGATTGACACATTTAGAAAACCAGTCAATGATTTGAATTTCTATTATGAGAATTTGTTCAATTCAAAAGTAATCAATTCTTTTTATTCTAGTATTGAATTTGGAGAGATATCTTTGCATTGATTATTCTCTAGCTTCATATTCCCTGTTAACCTGATTCACAAACAGCTACGAGATATTGCCAACTCCAAGATTGAAATGAAGTTTGATGATAAGGCTTCATACCCGAGTTAATTGTTGGTGACTTAAAAACATTATAAACCGATTCATTCAGAACAACTTAAATTCTAAAATTTTATTGTCTAGCACTTTTTATTTCTTAAAAGTGATAAAAGAATTGAGGATTAACGAACAAGTTAACCATGCCTTCAAACAAGAGTAAACTAGGTTCAGCAAATAGGAAACCTTAGCTAGTTTGTTCTTCGCTAAATTTGAAGTCACACAAACACAATTCATCCAAACATCGTATCTCATCAAAATCGTAAAGGTTAAAACTTCACTCACATCTAGGCTTAGCATATTGAAGTCATTAATTTGCTAGGACTATTCACATCTCAGTCAACGGAACTCTCCTATCAATAAAGGACACTTGCTTACCAAATAAAAGAACTTTCTAGGAGAATTTGTCCTCTAAAAATTCGCTAATTAGAGAGCTCATCTTTGACATTAAAAATGACAAACAAGGAAAACTTTTAAACAAATGTCAACCAACCAAATTTGTCCATTTCACAAGAGCTTTGCCAAGCACTTAATTGTAAACTTTTGTGTAAGTTTTTATTGTAGTTATTCATGTCGCATTGAACCTTTACATAAACCTCTAAATTTGAGGTCAGAACATGAACTCAGTACATGATCCTTAATACTGAATTCAATGAGATTATCAGAGCTTTTCTACCACGATCCTCTTTCCGTCTCTTCTTTTTTTTTGGGTAACACTATGCTCATACGAAAGGTATGGATGTTACCTATGGATAAATGTATATCCAACAACAAAAGATAGTGTCTTTGATGTATAATCCCAGTTCTGTTCTGACAATAGCAACATTGAAGTATGGCTCAACACGCGCGCGCACATTATCTTCCGTTGCTCTGTCTTTTAATGGCTAGCTTACTGTTGCAGCTGAAACAGAGTGCTACATGGAGCTCCAAGACTCCAATATATTTTTTCTACTCAGCTGAAACAGAGGGTTTTAAGTTCTTCAAAATCCTCTATATTTCCTTCTACTCAAGCTCATTACACAAACCAAGCCTAGTAATGAATCAAATAAATTCAAAGTAAAAAAAGTCGAAAGCCGCCGACCTATCTAAAGCAGGAACTAGTTTGCTACCCTAGATCATAGATAAACACTGCATGATAATCTACAATTGAACGGAAAGAATGGCGTATGTTCTAAACCTGAATGCATGCCAATTCACTACAGAATCAACGACCCAACATACATAAGAAAACCAAGAAAAAAGAGGATACAAGCCTCACCTCCAAACAGAAACCTAGGATTCTTATCAACAGCCGATGCTTCCCTACATCCATATAACCTCGGATCCGAAGAATTAGCAAGCCGGGTATCCTCTGACTCAGGCAGAAACCACAGTCCTAAGCTCGATCCTCCCACGGCTAAGATCCCGACAGCCGCTTTTGCAAACGCGGCAAGGCCACGCCCAGACGGCGCCGAATCTTCCACGCCAGCGGCCACCCCGGACACGCCTGAAATCCGCCGACATCCCAATCTGCCAAGCGAGCTCAAGCAGCGAGAAGATCGGAGAGTCATCGCCGTCGCGTTAGGTTGAGAGAGAGAGAGAGAGAGAGAGAGAGAGAGAGAGACGGGGGGAACGCGTTATAAAATGCGCGCACTGCGTTGGTTCCTCGCTTCCGCTCGAAAAGGTGGGCGCAAATGGGGGCAGTGGCCGGCAGTCCACCGTTTTGCTCTCCAGTCTGCTCGCTGACGTGGAGTTTGGGCCACGGATTTGGACACCGGCAGTAATGAATGATTCAAAGGCCAGTTCATTTAATAGTTTAATGCTATTTTTCATGAACTATGCCTAAAAGTCCTAATATAATTTATATTAAGTTTTACAAGATAAATATTTGAAATTAAAATTTGTTTCATTTAATTTTTTTTAAATTGATGTTTTTTTAGAATTTTGTTTGTTAATGTTAAAAAATATTCTAATTTTGGATATATTTTTTTATAATTAAGATCAAATAAGGTTGGACCGTGAATTCTTATAGATTATTTCAGATGGCGATGATGACAAGTTTCCTTATAGATATATCATAAGCACCAGTGTTATAGTCATGAGCACTACTGTTATAGTCATGACTATGACCTCCAGGTCCTCCCCAATCTAGTCCACTGCTCCACCAACGATGTCGTCGACTTACCACTCCTCATCACCTACCTTATCCAACCCATTACATTCATATTAATCTCAACTAATTATAATTTTCTCAAGAAAATTTTAAAAAAAACTAGATATTTTTATGATTTTTCAAATAAGTAAAGTTGGTTGAACCAGTCAGTGCTTGGAATTTGTGTAATATGTATTAGATTTTCCTATAATGCTGTCAGTTGAGATGTACACCTTAATTTCTCCGAGACTTAAAAAGAAGCAATGAGACTTCATATTACAAGTTAGGTTGGACTAAATATGCAAAACTCTTTAGTATTCTCTATTCCTTTTTAGATTACAATTTATTAAAAATTATATTATTTTATTTTCTGAGAAATTGGTTGTTAACCATGCAATTCCACTAATTTTCAATCAAAATTATTAGATCATTATTTTTTTAATATACACCCAACAAAAATATATTTAAATTAATTTCAAAGTTAATTCCAAAGATAAGCATAGAATTACAATTACACAAAATTATGCTAGCTCAAAGAATTATAACATAGTTATAAAATATTTTTACATATAACATTTTTCAAATACGAAAATTATTCCAAAGATACAAACAGGTGAATGAGAAAACACGTGAATAAGCTCTAAATATTGATTCCACACTTGGTCTCCTTTAATTGCACAAATTACACAACCTTCCTCTAACTCTCCCTCGCTTCGATCACTCTTGCGAATACACTATGTCCTCAAATACACTCCACTCTTAAGCCATTTAGTGGTAAACACATCTTTAACTCCTAATTCCAGCTCACTCACGTTCATGGGCATGTTCCACAATTATGCAACAACTGCATCTCAAGTTGTGGAGCTACAACACTACGATGTAGCGATGTGGCCTTGTTGACATAACACTATAGTGCTAAATAATTATGTTGTTGTTATGAGCTCTAAGTTTGTTGGCTTTAACTTCTTATGATGATGTTGTGGCACTAGGAATGTAGAATTATAATGCTTGTATGATGGTTCCTTAGTATTAAGAAGTGTCATTGAATTGTCAAGCCCTTATCTTGATTTTTGAAGTTTCAGGCTTCTGACACAATTTGTCTGGTGCTGCGGTGTTGCCTCTATTTTTGTTTGTTTCTCTCCAAATTATTGGCCTATTAATTTTCAGCCCAAGAATTAGATAAAATATCATAAAAATAAACTTACAATTATATAAACTTATTTCATTTATGTGTTGTATGAGAAACTCAATGTCATGCACTATATGAGAAATTTAATGTCAACATATATGCACTATACTTGCTAAGCTTACATTTATATGCAAAAGTGATTATTTCATCTCAAATATAAATTTTTTTTTAATTTCTAATTTTAATATGAAATAAATTACATTAGCATTAGAATATATCATATATGTAGGTATAAGTTTATTCTCCATCCTAAAGGATGATATCAAAACTATACCACATATCATAAGCTTAAAAATCTAGCTTTAAGGCTATACATTGAGATTTTTTCTCTTAATAATGACTCAAATTTGTTGCCCTACTTATATATATCATCATAAACACATTAATTTGAGATTTTTTTTGCATCTATATATGCTCATCTTAGTTATTATATTTATACTGTCTATCATGAACATGCCTTGCTAACATATCCCATAAAATATGATATTTAAATCTTATTATTATTAGCATTATTATTGAAACATTTAAATACTTATTTCATTTTTAACGAGCCGAACACGAACAAATGTTTGTTCGTTAGTGTTCGGCTCATTTTGGCTCGAAATACTACTAATCAATTATATATGTATCTTTGATGAGTAGTCTTTTTTAAAAAAATAGTTAACTACAAGGCTACAAAGATTTATAATCATTTAAAAATATTAATAATGAAAATATAATGAAAATTATTAAATTAGATTCAAATGAAGTTTTAAATCTTGCTCCAATCTATTTTATGGTTACGTGATTAGACTTGTCAAAATGACTCTTTGTTCATGAACAACTCGTATTCGGCTCGCTAAGCAAACGAGCTGAGCTCGAAATATAAACGAGCCGAACACGAGCTAAGCCTAGGCTCGCTCGTGTTCGGTTCGTTTACACCCCTATATCATCCTTCTTCTTTATTATTATTTTTTTTCTCCTCTCTCACAATTTTACATTTATACAAGGAATTTGTATATTCCTTAACAATTTAACATCAAAATTTAATATCTTTTTTACTCTTCAATATATACCAAATTGCTCTATACCTAACCCGAACAATCATATCGTCCAAATAGGTATTGATAGATAACTGCCAATAATTTATCTAAGAAAAAGTTACTTGATCTATGACATAATGGTACTAACATCTCCTTTGATTTATTGTTTGCTGAATATGAGTCTTGAGTGTGACTTGAAACTAAAAGATCATTTTTTTTTAAATTTAATTTTTAAAAGAGTTGAGAGTGACTAGAAACTAAAAGTCGAGAGCTTTTTCTGAAAGAAAGAGGAAGCCTATTTTTCAAAAAGGAACGGTTTTTTTTTCCTGTTAAGATGTGGTAGAGAGGTCGTAAGTCCCCTCATGTTCGAATCTCCCTCTGACCAGTTTGCCAGTAGTGAGGGCGGTCCTCAAATAGTTAGGAACATGAGGATGGATGGGAACTCCTATAATAGCCTCCGGTCATTCTTTAACTATATATATATATATATACCACAAGCCTTGGACTGTTGGTGGCGGGGTCACTGCAAGTCCTCTCAGTTCAAAGGATCGATCCCACCGCAGTGCGAGGGCTCTAAAATTTTAGGCAGATGACGCGGGCTCTTATCATGGAGCTAAAAAGCGCATGAGAAATCAATATTTGGGCGATATATACATACATACATATATATATATACATACATACATACATCTATATATATATATGTATGTATATGTATGTATATGTATGTATATATATATGTATGTATGTATATATAAATCTTTAAATTTTTAAATTTAGTTACTTTTTAGAATCACTCTTTGTGGGAGGAGGGCTTAGAATAATGATTGAAGGTTGCGAGTGGTAGAAGATGTGGTTTGAGTAAAGGTGGAATGTTTGAGGTTTTGTAGTGATTAAAACTTGCCACTTGTATAGCAAGAGCTGGTTTCGTCAAAGACCGCATGATGGGAAGTGAAAAATGTTTCCATTGGTCACATCAAGGCATCAGTAACCCTTGTGAAGTTGGGAGTGGTGGAAGATGTTGTTTGAGTAAAGGTGGAATATTTGAGGTTTTGTAGTGATTAAAGCTTACAACTTGTTATGGCAAGAGCTGGTTTCGTCAAAGACCGTATGACGGGAAGTGAAAAATGTTTCCATTGGTCACATCAAGGCATCAATAAACCTTGTGAAGTTGGGAGTGGTAGAAGATGTGGTTTGAGTAAAGGTGGAATATTTGAGGTTTAGTAGTGATTAAAGCTTGCAACTTGTTATGGCAAGAGATGGTTTCGTCAAAGACCGCATGATGGGAAGTGAAAAATGTTTCCATTGGTCACATCAAGGCATCAATAACCCTTGTGAAGTTCAAAGCAGCCAAGAAGTATATAGAATGGAGCTCTAAGGGAAAGTTTGTTGCTAAATTTTAAACTTCGATGTGGAAAAAGAGAACATCCAAAGACAAAGTTGTTTGGTTAGTTCTTTTTATACGGAGTTGATGAGGTAATTTCGTTTTTAGAGTAGTACCGAAAAGATAAGCAGCAGTTAACATATCATCAACCCAAATTTGGTGAGATAAGTGGCGCCCATCAACGAATATGTACAACAGTGTGATCAAATAAAATCCACCAACAATTGAAGTATACAGGGCATGAACTAGAAACATCCATGGGCTCAGTTCCCTCGAGTAGAATCCAAAGCCGACCGATAGACTACAGATGTTGATTAGCCAACAAGGGACGACTAATCAAAGATTCTATCGACCGACAGATAGCTTAAGTCAACTGGCTATTTGAACACAGCAGAGCCTGACAAGCGGCCTCTCGCGATCCAAAGATTACCGGTTGCAAGCGGCTGATATGCAGGAAGGACTGAGCTAAAGAATTATTTATTTATTTATCCATTTACACCTGTATTTAAATCTTGATTTATTTACTTTTTTGCTAAATTTTTCTGTAATGCCTCTAATAAGACAGGGGCAAGCAGGTAATTATACTTTTGTATTCTCCTTATTTTGCCTATAAATAGGAGGGTCGTTTATACAAAAAAGAGACAAATAAATCACTGATTAAAAACTCTAAAACCTTTAGCCTATCATGCACTTCATCTCTTTTTCTCTCTCTTTCTCTCTCCATGCTAGGCATTATTTATTCGGTATGATTCACAGAGCAAATTTGGGTTAAACAGAATAAAACATAAAATTTATACCATTGTCATGAAAAGATTAGTTAAGGCCTTATACAATAAAATGCACTCGAAAGGCTTTTGGACTTTGTAGTGATTTACGCAAAAGGGTTTTGTTTTGAGACAGTTGAAAGCATAGCTTGGTAGGGCTAACCAAGATGTCGATGACAAATGTTTGTTGGAAAGAGGCCGGAGGCAACTGCAAAGATGGAGAAAATTAGGGTATGTGTGGCAATTATAGCTGTTTGAAAAAGCAACTGTGAAGCTGCTGCAGAAAAAATAACTTTTTGAAAAGTTGTGATGGCTAATACAAGTTTATTTTATTTTCAAAAAGTCAAATCACAGCTTTTTGGTAGCCGCCCAATTTTAACAACTTAGGTTGAAAAAACAGTTTTCTACCATAAAAAAATTCAAAATATAGCAAGAAAGCAGTTCTCCGATTAGAACTGTGGTGGCAGTATGAAAAAATAAAGCGGATAGAAAGATGTCCCA